ATTCATCCTAAGTTGAGATGGAATTTGTCGGTAAGCTGTACAGCCATTTTTTAGCTTTATCCTTAAGAGCAAATGGAGTAAATCTAAGCTTAATCGCATCTTTGGTTAATTCTCTCATTTTAATCATAATACACACTTCCTCAAATTCTGAAATAAAAATATATGCATATTCTGTTTTATTTCTAAGAAATTTGGGAAGCATGTTTATGTAATGCGGTCTAAGCTCAAAATTTGCTCCATTTGCTTCAGGGGGCCTTATGCAAGATGGAATTGTATTTCTGGTGGGGTAACACATATCCTGGAGAACAGGTTGATTTGCCATTTCTTGGATTGGTTCAACACGGATTAAACGATGAGAATTATCCCTAACCCAAGTTTGCATACACCAAAACAAATATTTTTTTTAAGGAAAGAAATAAAATTAGTTTTTTTATGAGAAGAAAAGAAAAATCTTAACTAAAACAAATCAAAGCAATCACTTTTCAATCATTCTAATTCTAGGATTTAGCCTAACTCAACTAGACGAGCTCCTAACCAAAAACTCCTACAGTAAAAAGATTAAAGTTTTACCCAGGTAGTTAGCCAGGTAAGGATAGTATTAGAGGGTGATCAAAGATCAATTTAGTATCTCTTTCCTTGCGGAGCGCTTTACGTAACCCCTAAACCTTGCCTTAGACACCAACTAATCTGAGAAAACTTAAACCGGTTCACTTAAGGATTTCTTGTTCCTTATTGAGCTTGAATCCTTAGGGGCTAACGTCTAATGAGTTTTAGAAGGCTTAGGTTTGTGAAGTGAGGAATTAGTGATTTGTGGGCTAAGGAAAGGGTGATAAAATCCCTTACCTTATATTGATTATGTGTTTTGCCCTTAAGAATGTTTTAAGTGTGTGCCAAATCAAGTGCTACAATCACTTTGGTGAATTCCTACACTATATGTAATATAACCCTAGAAATTAAAAGCGACTAAAAAGAATGACAAAAAGAAAATCTTTATATTTTTTTATTAGGGTTAACAATCAAACAACTATGAGAAGGGGAAACATTGTTTGAGTTTATTATCTTATTAGTTAATGTCCAAGTGAAAGATGAATTTTATTATGGTCAACAAAAATAAAATCTTTTATTTTTTTTAAATCTTAATTGTCTCTAATTGTGAAGCTAACTAAAGAGGGTGGAATTGAAAATGCTAGAAAGAAGACTTACTCGAAAGCAATGCTCCAAATTCTTGATCTTCAATCCAAGATTTTCAAGCTCCAAACGGTTCTTTCACAAGAAAAAAATACAAGTTAAAGAACCAAAATAATAAAATCCTATTTTAGCACCTTTCCCGGCAACGGCGCCAGAAACTTGATACGGCATAATTATGTACCAAAATTGCAAGTGCACAATTGATCAAGTTATAGTATAAAAAGTTATCGATCCCACGAGAAAGGTGATTTTAAGAGATTATTAGAATAGGTTCTTATGTTGTGTGCGTGACAAAAATAGGATTAAAGAATAAGTGTGATTGTGATGAGTGGTTGTTGTGAATATATACAAGAGACAATAAATTGAATTTTAGAGAAAAGAAATAAGAATCAAAGAATAAATGAAATCATAAGACAAGAAAAAAAAGAATAAAATCAAGAATGAAAAGAAAATTCAAGAAAGTCAAGATGGAGGATTCAATTAAGATATGAGAAATCTAGAATTTAATCCACTAGCTAATCTCAATTACAAAATACAAACTATTCTCTTTTTATCATATTTCAACTTAGATTTATTAAGCATAGACTATCATACCATTTAAGGAAAGTATAAGCTATCAAATTATCATCTAAGTTAAAATTACTATTCATGATAAAAATAACAACAAGATAGTAATCCTAAACAAGATAGTAATCCTAAAATTTATAAGCATAACCTATCAAACCATTTAAGATAAGCATAGATTATCAAATTCTTCTTCTACCGATTAGTTTTCTAGTTGATTATCCTAAACATGAATATTTTAAGTGCAAGAGAATAATTTGCAAAACATAAAGGAAATTAGACTAGCTTCATATAATTCTAAGATTCCCACAAGAATTAATTTCACATCTTAAGAAATAGAAACAAGAAGAAAAAGAACTAATTACAAAATTAAAAGAAAATAAAAATCTAAACTATGAACAAGAAATAAATCTAACTACAAAGAATTAAAATCTAAACTATAAAATAAATTACAAAAATTAAATGCAAGAAAATAAATCTACTCTACAAATTAAAGTGCAAAAATAAATAAAAAGACAAGAAAATAAATCTACACTACAAGCATGAATGTAAATCTAACTAATAAGCAATAATAAAAAAATTACAAAAAAGAAATAAAAGAGAAAAATAAAAGAAATACAAACCTTCAAATTGCTCTTCATCTCCATTCTCATCATTCAACAAAGAGGAGAAAAGACAAATTTAAAGTGGAAAAAAATTATTATTATTAATTACAACAAAAGTTATAATTTTTGGAAGGTCTTCTCAATTAAGAGTAGTCCTCCTCTCCAAATAGAGTTACAAAATTTTTTACACCTCTAACCCCTCACTCTCTACCCCTATTTATAGTAAACATCAGTGAATGAGAGCTATTGGATTGAAATATTATCCAAAAACAACAAATTTCAGCCCTTAATTCGTAACAAACTGTACGTCAGTATCGATACCAGCATCGATAGGTGTATCGATGCTGGCATCGATACGGGCATCGATACGTGCATCGATGCCCCCATCGATGCTGGCATCGATGTGGACCTTCTTCTGGTTGTTGTCCGCAAATTCTTTCTTCATTTGTCTTGTGGGCTTGGTCTTTGGGCTTTTGCTTGGACTTTTGGCATTTTCTCTTGATTTTCCACTGGGCTTTGAATATGATTTCTTTTCATATTGGATTTTTGATTTTCTCCGGCTTCTACAGGCTACTCGGCTTGATTCTGGGCTTTTGGATAATTTGGAAATTAATTTTCCAATGGGCTTCTTTTGGGCTTTGGCATTTTTTCTTCATTTGGGCTTCAACACTTCATTGAATATTGAAAGAAATTGTTTGCTTTTATGGGCTTTATTTCTTCAATAAATCAAGAGTTTTTTGTTGAGAGATGAGAGTTTTGAGATTTATTCTTTATTAACCTACAATTAAAGATAAAAACAATTATTAGTAGTATATTTATTCATATAAAATAGATAATGAGGGTATAAAACTGTAATAAAATGTGATTATCAAAAATCGAATCAATTCGAATACTACGTTCCTATTTATATTTGTTTAACAGTATTGAATTCGAGAGCAATATCTAATATTCATTTCTCCCTAATAATAGGAGAGGAAGGTATCATCTGCATGGTGTTGGAACTTCACTAGGCATAAACATAAGATCATCCACAGCATCCTCCACGCCATCTACAACAACGAGAGCAGCTCCAAGCAGTTTCCAGGCTATGCCATTTGTCCTACGTGTCTCTGCGTATTTGTCCGACAAGATTGACCCAGAGCTGTATGTTCAGGTGACTAGGGAGATGAACAGAGTTGCGAGGAGGCCCCGCTGGATGGACGATGTCATGTCTTACGCTGTAGATTATTTGGCTAGTGTGATTCCCTCTAGCCTGTTTGGTGGTATCATACGGCTCATAAGCTCGGGTGTCGATAATTCCGACGTTGGGCAGAGCAGCGTTCAGGTATCTTATTTTTCTTTATATTTATAAAATTATTTATGTTTAATATGTTATCAAACACCACATAATTCTTAAAAAAAATTGTTTAATATGTTTAATAACACAGAGCAGTGTACTGGTATATTTTAATAAATGCTCTATGTTTAGTATGTTATCAAACTTTACATAACTCTAAATTATTATTCAATTGGACCTTCAAACTGGAGATATTAGAGGGAGCAGCACCCATCCTCGTACGAGGGATAGAGATGTTGCCGACGACGACGACATGTGAGGTTTTTTTTATTTTTTAATGTAATGAACAAATTTTTATTTGTTATAGCACTCTACTTTTATTCATGTCGTGTACTCTATTTTATTCATCTCGTGTTATGGATGGACTTGGTATTGCTAGTGTATATGTTGTAGATATTTAGATAATTTTAGTTTTTACTGAAGTGGAGATTGACACAGATTGTTGGATGTATTTATTGGACGAAATTGTTGGATGTATATTTTGGATTGGATGGTTGGATCTGTATATTGAAGATGATATTTGATTATATTTGGTTATGGATGGACTTAATATGAATTTTGATTATATTTGGCTGGATGTATTCATGTGTATATCGTAATTGTAATTAAATGTACAGGGAATTAATATTTAAAACTATTTTTTTGCTAGGAAAAAAACAACTTAGACGAAATTTTCGTCTAGGTTACACTAGCCTAGACGGAATTCCGTCTAGGTTGCCATTATTGCAACCTAGACGGAATCCCGTCTAGGTTGGCAACCTAGACTGTTTTTCACATTCCGTCTAGGTTTCTTTCCGTCCAGTTTGATCTATCTAGACGGAATTCCGTCTAGTTTGAGTCAAACTAGACGGAATTATTCTACACTGACTTTTCTAGACAGAATGACGTCTAGATAGATCAAACTAGACGGGATTGTAAGCAACCTAGACAGAAAATTCCGTCAGGTTGTTCGTTTTTCTACTAGTAATTTTAAAATTTAATTTTTATAAAGTCTACCTCTTTTTAAAAAAAATCAATTTTACTAATAATTTTACAAAACAATCAATTTTGTTAATTATTTTTGAAAAAGGGTCATTTTTCTTTCTTTTTTTTTAATTTTATAATTCTCCATTTCGAACATAAGAGTTGTAACCAAGAGGCCCTTGCCTGTGAGGCCAAGCATCTTGTACAGTACTAGGGACACTCCAGTAATTATTAGCAACCCCAAGGCCAACGGTGGACAAACTGTTCCACGTCAGCTAGCTCCAACTCCTCAACAGATCAGCATAACATCAAAAACCCATTCGCATCCCTTCCATGTTTCCTCTCCTTCGTTCAAAAATCGCACAACAAACGAGCGAGGCAGCGCTCACTATGATCAGAGAGAAATTAGAAATTAGGGTTTCACCATCATCGAAAGAGATCGAACGAGTACGTAGCGATCTTTTGTGAACCGAGGCCTTCGCCTCTCTTCGATTGGAACTGATCCGATCTCTTCAATATTTCTCTCCACAACCTCGGTAATCTCACTCACTCAACATCGTCTCATTCTCATCGTACTTTTTACTAATCGAGGGTTTCGTATTGTAGATTGGGGATAATTCTGCTTACACTATTCTGGATCATACTTACGCTGGAGCTGGTGGTGCTGGGCTCAGGGCGGCGACTGGGTATCGGAGCACGGGTTGATTTTTTTTGTGGCTGAAAATATATGTAATTATATAAAATTTTGAGGAAAGTATATGAAGAATGCCCCCTTCGTCCAACTCTTCATGCAAAGGCTTTCTTGCCCGACGCCCCCCCGCCGAATTCTATAATAAGGGTTTTCTTGCTTGTGAACTGTAAAATTTGACAGGTGACCTGGGGGCTCACATGTCATACACTTGCAGCTCACGGGGGTAGGTGAGCTGCCAGCTCACCTCCATTATTCTCATATATATATATATGAGAAAAATGGGTATGCTTGGTACCAAGCATAATTTTTTGTGCTTGGTAGTGAGGTGGCATATTCCCCTCCACTCATTGATATCAGGTTCCACATTCACATGAGTTGGGGAATGGTTGCGAATTGGAATGAGTGGATGTGAATATGACACCTCACTATCATGCACAAAATTTGTGCTTGGTACCAATCATACCCATTTCTCTCTCTCTCTCTCTCTATATATATATATATATATATATATAGATTAATGGGTATCCTTGTCATAGGAGAGGATTTCTTTCCTTATCGCCTATGTGCCAATCGCCCACCATCCTCATAAAGTATGCGTAAATCCCACCTCACACACCTGCTCCTAATTATTGAGGATTGGCGGGAATTGTGCCACATAGACGTCAGAGAATCCCTTCTTACTTACAAGGATACCAATTAATCTCATATATTATATATACATTACATAATATAGTTTTGTGTGTGTTGGTTGTATACTCTATATATATGTGTGGTGTGAATGTGTGTGTATGATGTATATTAACGTATATATATTATATATTTGTTGGTTATATGTATTGTATAATGTAATATATAGAATTATATGTTTATTATGCATGTATATCAAGACTATATGACAACAACTATGTATTTATATTATGAATTATATATCTATTATATTAATAATATTAATTATATATATATTATATTATATATAGTATATAATATGTGTTGTGTGTGTGTGTGTGTGTGTACGGTGTGTAGAGAGAAATATGAGTATGTTGATCAAGCACAATTGTTATATTAGTAAGTAGAGGTGTGCATATTCTACTTCACTAATTAATGAGGGGATCACTTCACAGATGGTTGGAATGCATGGAATATGCGATTATTGAAATGATGATGGGGAAAGAACACCTTACTAAAGTACAAAATTTATGCTTGGTACAAGCATATAATTTTATTGTATATATATATATTATGTGTGTGTGTGTGTGTGTGTGTGATACTATATTATTATATTATAATTATATATTATATGTAATATATCAACACGATGTGTATATATATGTGTATGTGTGTATGTAGAGTTATATAGATATAGCTACATAACACACATAGTATTAATATACATATTTATAAGACATATATATTTATATATATATATGTAACAACATTATATACACATTACATAAATATATATAACATATACATACATATACTACAATTACTTAACACAGACAACACACTATACTTATAGCATACACTCGTACACCAAAGCACGACACACACATGACTAACAAACATATAATTTATATAATATATATTTATATATATATATAATTATATATATATATCATGTGTATTATCATATTTACTCATGCATCAAGTGATTGTAAAATTAACGGTTTTACGACAATACAACTAAAGTGACAATAAAAATTATGTGATAGAAGTATTGAAACATCATGATTTTTATTTTATTGATATTTTAAGATATTTTAATCATGATAAATAGAGCGGATCGTCAAAATTATGTTATATGCAATCAATTTTATATAGGAAAATATGATTCTAAGGAGCCACCTTAGATTGAATCTAAGAATGCACCTTCAAAATTACGTTATATACAATCAATTTACTTGATCCACTCTGTTCATTTTGATTTATATGTTTTGGATGATGTATAAATAAAAAGCTAGGCATATCAGGTTGCAGTTACTCATGCATCAAGTGATTGTAAAATTAACGGTTTAACGACAATGCAACTAAAGTTACAATGAAAAATATGTGATAGAAGTATTGAAAAACATCATGATTTTTATTTTATTAATATTTTAAGATATTTTAATCATGATAAATAGAGCGGATCATCTTACTGAAATAACCAAATCCAATGTAATCCCGAGCAGGTGCATTCTTTAGATTCCAATCTAAGGATGACTCCTTAGAATGCATATGTCAGTATATATACTATATATACTACTACTATCATACTACTATCACTATACCTATATATATATACAGACGAGAGAGAGAGAGGACGAGAGCAGGAGAGCACGAGGAGAGAGACGAGAGCGAGAGACGGCAGAGAGGAGAGAAAAATAGTAGCTTGGTTACTAAGGCACAAATTCTTATGTTTGGATAAGTAAGGTGTTTTCTATTCTGAGAGAAATGAGTATGCGTTGGTACCAAGGCACAACATTTATTTGTTTGGATAGTCAAGGTTAGTATTATTCCTTATCCCGGCCTCCTTTCAATTCCAACCCACTTCGCCTAACCTACTGTGAATGTGGGTCTTCGATTTTTAATAAGTGGAGGGGAATATGGCTATCTTACTACCAAGCACAAATAACTTGTGCTTGGTACCCAAGCCTATCCATTTCTCTTATATATAATGATATACTATACCTACTATACATATACCTACTACTCACCTATATACTACTATAAGCACAAAGTGGTTCATTCGAAGATGGCACATTAGATTCAATCTAAGGTAGAGCCTTCAAAACTGCATTATATGTTTTCAAATTGCTTGATCCACTCCGTTCATTTTGATTTATCTGTTTTAGATTATATACAAATAAAAAATTAGCCATATTGACTTGTAGTTATTTATGCATCAAGTGATTATAAAATTAACGGTTTTATGATAATATAATTAAACAGACAATGAAAAATATTTGCTAGAAGTATTTAATCATCATGATTTTTATTTTATAGATGTTTTGAGACATTTAGATTACGATGAATGGAGCAGATCATCAATTAGAATAGTCTAATTCATGAATCAAGAGGCGCTTCCTTAAATTGAATCTAATGTGTCATCTTATGAACATTTTCCCCATATATATACACATACATATGTATAGGAAACTTGCTATGAGCTGGCAGCCCATTTTGTAAAAAGTGCTGTGAGCTCATATATATTTTTTCCATATAGAAAGCTGGCTATGGGCTGGCAGCCCATTTTGCAAAAAAGGTTGTCAAGTCATATACATTTTTTCACGCGTGCGCGCGCACACGCATATGTTTCTTGTAAAATCTGGGGAGCAACTGAGTTATTGTTACCAGATTTGTGGTTTTTGATATGGTTACTAAGACTGGATGTGATACTTTGAATTCTACATGGGTAGGGATAGACTTAAGTCACTTAACTAGCTTGGTGTTTGGGGCCATAAGAACTTTTGGAACTTGTTGGGGTCATATATATAATTATACATGTATTGTTTGTGTGCATGTTTCCAAGAGAAAGACATAACTATGTATCTCAAGGCATGTAAACTTAGTATTATGATAACAAACTTTCTTTTAAGTTGTTAATATTTATGTTTATTCCTTATAAATTCTATAAATCAATGCCTTGAATGAACTGGTATATTGTTACTCTTTTATTCCCTTGTCTCTAGTTTTGGTGATCCAACTCAGGAATTCTTCAATGGAAGTTTGGAACGCATATAATATATCAAAGGTTCGAGGTGGAGGGGTGGCATATATTATACAACACTTGACTAGAGCTCATGATTCCTCAGATTAGCAATATGAACCAACACTTACCTTTGAGAAGCATATTATTTGATAAACCATGTGGAAGACATGAAAGCGACATTTATTTGGACTAAAGTACATATGTCAAAAGCTACTCCTTCATTAAGCAATGTGTTATTCACAAGGAGCTTTTTGTTCTGTAATTACATATAAGTTTTCGTTTAGGATTTCACTGGTGGTGACTAAATGCTCATGGTCCTGTAAGATCACCAGTACGAGATAGATTCATTTGTCCTCTGAAAAATTGCAACATCATGTATTGGGTAGCAGAAGCTAGATCTGACATGTGGCAACAGTTTATTATTGTATATATTTTCTAAACTTCTAAAACATGTTGAGCTCTAGATGTGCTTTAAAGCTTCAATTGTATAGGTAATTCTGTTATTTACTCAAGTGTTATTTGCTTGAAGCTCTTTGTAATTGTATTCATAGATCCGATGTAGGTTGGCATTAATGCAGCATTGGGTAATATGACTGAAGATGACTGGAGGTGGTGTATGTCTGATACAGTCAAAGGAAGTGATCGGTTAGGTAAACTTTCTTAGCGAAATTATTAATTTAATTTGTTACTTCAATGTATAAGCACATGCCTTCCAGTTATTTTGCTTACAGTTTGGAGAGTAAGCATTAGCTCATCCTTATTCATAATCAAAACTGAATTTTATCATTTTGTCTTTTCTAATTTTTGTAAAGAAAGGGTTGTCAATCATATCTTCTGTTTGAAGTGTTTTCTGGAACTCAAAACACATGCCAGATCTGTAATAAAACTACAAGAAGTCTGCCACTGTCTGAAGCTAATGATCTGTAATGATAATAGTGTTATAGTTTTAATTTAATTAAGTTTCTTAAGCTGTTTGGTCTGTGTGTTCCTTCTCATTGTTTATGACATCAGTGATAAATTTGTCATCAAGTGATCAGGATGCTATTCAGTATACGTGGTGAGAGGCGCCTAAAGCAGTTACTAAACTTGAAAGTTATGGATTACCATTCTCTAAAACAGATGATGGGAAAATATATCAACGTGCTTTTGGAGGACAAATTTTGGACATTGGACAAGGTAGAGGTTCACAATTTTTGCTATAGCATTTCCAGTTAGATGATTATCCATAGTTGATTTGTAACTCTTATTTTTGAACTTGTTCTGCATCTGTAGGAGGTCAAGCTTATTGTTGCGCATCTGCTGCTGATCAAACTAGCCATGCATTGCTCCATACGCTTTATAGACAAGTGATGAAATACAATACTCAGTTCTTTGTGTAATACTTTGCACTGGATCTTCTAATGGATAATAGCAGTTAGTTATTAAGTAAATTTATTGTTTTGCTTGTATAAAAGCTTGTGAAACTTGTCCTTTGTGATTAGACAAGAGACCCGCATGGCTTTGAAAATGCATAGTAATCTTCAAAAATTAATACATCTAAAGGAACATGTTCCCCTGCATGTTTCTTACTAATCAATATATGGATGCAATTTTATCTTATGTTGTTACATGAAATTTCTCTGTATGCTAGATTGGGTTGCTTGTTTCTCTTATTGGGAACTTTTGGGTGTTTATCATTTTCTTAAAAACTTTTTTACATTGTGTCATACTTGTTTAAACTTGGTTGAGAAATAAAAGTGCTGCATAATGAATGAAAATGAGATCCAACTATTCTATTCAAGTTAGATTCAAGGAAGCATCAAATGTGTATGAACTAGAGGCTCATGGATACCTCTGGGGAAGGGGAGAAGATTGAAAGACAGCTCATAAAATTTAAAGCTAATCTACGTAGCAAGCTACCTGACTCGCTTACCAGCCACTACAAGTTCGAATGAACACCCGCTTTATTGTAAACAAACAATGTCTTGGATCCTTTTCTTTATCTATGCAAATACACTATTTTCGTCAAACCTGGAGGAAGGCTTTAGCAGGGTTTTAGCCATAGACTTGCGTTGATTTTCTTTTTGCAAGTGGATCTATTAACCTACAACAAGTTTTGAGGAAATGAATTTAAAGAATGGGCTGTAACTTGTTTCATCCACTTTGAAATATTTAGCATGAAGTTGGTTGCTAAGAGCTATATGCGTCACTTATCTATACTTCATTGCATGTAGGACTAATAGTGGTCTAAGGCTAGCTTGAGCACATGACATGTTATACTAACCATCTAACAGTTAGTAGGCTCAGCATTTGTATTATCCACTTCTAAATTTTTTTTTCTTTTCCCCTTTTTATCCTGGTTAATTTACCATAGTCATTATCTTCTGGTTAATTGTGTTTCTTTTATACCCTTATGATTGTACTTTAGGGTCTTGCCAAGGGGTGATTGCACTCAATATGGAGGACGGGACACTTCATCGCTTCCATGCTGCATCAACAATTTTGGCCACAGGGTAGCTAAATTTTCTATTTCTTAATTATTGTGTAATTGCGATTAACAGTCATTACAATCTCTTAATTTTACCTTTATAACTTCGTTTCATTTTACATGTTGGGGTTATGGCAGAGCTTACTTCTCTGCAACCTCAGCTTATACGTGCACAGATGATATTCAGCATCACACTCAAATTTGGCTTGTAATTCTTCTTGCAGGATCTTGAGTTTGTACAGTTCCATCGCACTGGCATATATGGTGCTCGTTGCCTCATTACTGAAGGTCCATATCATCATTTCCTGCTCCTTTACATGTGATTTAGCACCACGTAGATGCTGATGCTATTTTCTATCTGCAGTCTAGTCATTGACCAATTTCTACCTCCTTAACATTACATTCTTTTTAAATATCAAACTTCTAATGGCTTAATCTTTTTATTTACACTTTATAATAGTAGGACCTCAAGGTAAAGGTGGTATCCTTAGGAACAGTGAAGGTGAGAACTTTATGGAACACTATGCTCTTACTGCTAAAGATCTTGCATCTCGAGATGTTGTTTCAAGGTCTAAGACAATGGAAATCAGAGAAGGACATGGTGTAGTAGGTATGGATTGAAAATAATGAAATCTTATCTTTGACGCTATTTCCTTGCTTGTTGATCTTCAGTCCAATATTTAGCAAGATACTCATGGTTAACTTGTCTATTGACTTGTTTAGATTGGATTGTATTCATTTATCATTCTCTATTATTCAATTTAAGAGCTCTAGTTAATGACTAAATGGATGCAAGTCAGGAGCATCCCACTTATCTTGCTGGTTTGCACATGTTTTTCTTGAATTTTTTGTATTTTTAGCTTTAGTTTGAGTTTGCACGTGGATGAAAATTGATATAGGATATATGTACTTGATTTGTTCGTCCTCAGAACCACTGCAGGATCATATTTATCTCAGCTTGATTCCCTTATATTCTGCACTCTGATCTTCCTCAGGACTGCTGAAGGACCATATTTATCTGCATCGGAACCATTTACCTTCTGAGGTTCTTAAGGAAAGACTTCCTGGTATATCAGACACTGTTACTATCTTTGCTGGTGTTGTTGTCACTAAGTAGCCAATTCCTGTTTTACCAACAGTGCACAATAACATGGTAGATGCCCCCCAACTTAACATGGGGGGTCTGTTGAAGAGTTACATAATTAATGTAATACATAACTACTGTTAAAATAAGTTTGCTGCCTGTTATATCTTTCAGCATGTTGATTCTTCAGGTTGTAACTGTTGAAGGCAATGACTCAGATGCTGTAGCTCCTGGATTAATGGTTGCTGGGAAGTCAGCTTGTGCCTTTGTTCATGGTGCAATTTGGCTTGGTGCAAATTCCCTTATTGACATAGTTGTTCTTGGCTGAGCTTGTGCAAACAGGGTTGCTGAGATTCACAAGCCAGGCAAGTCATCGTTTTTCGGTTCTATTAGTAATGTTACTCACTTTATGTGAAATAGTCCTTTATATAGCAGATATCATTGCATAATATGTAGGAGCGAAGCAACGAAGTTCTCCTTTATATAACTGATATCATTACATAATCTTTTTAGGATAGAAGTGAAAACCTTTTGACAAATATGCTGGGGAAATGACCATAGCTTTGTTAGATAAATTAAGAGACTCGAACAGGTTGTTGCCAACTTCAAAGATTCGTCTCAATATGCAGAGGGTGTTGCAGAACGATGTTGCTGTTTTCCGAACTCAAAAAAAGAAGAAGGTACTACTAAACACGGCAACTAGAATTTCCTGGACTTTCTTTTCTACATCTCCTTATAACTATCATTTAGAGCTTAAAAAATTACCTCAAGCAATATGTATTTAATATAAATAAAGTAACGACTGTCTTAAGAAAGCTGATTAGCATTTCTTGAATTATATCTAGGTTACAGTTGATAGACAAAGCGTGAACGTGCAACTGAAAAAGTTTTCACGAGGTCCAATTGTCCAAATCCGTGATCAGACTTTGATATGGTAGTTCTTTTGCATTTACATTATTTGGTGAATTTCCATATTCCAGAGTTTATTAATTCAACACATGTTTATCCTTATGCTTGTAGGAATTCTGACTTAAATAGAGACTATTGAGCTGGAAAATCTTTTAATCAATGCATGCATAACCATGCATTCAGATGAAGCTAGAAAGGAGACTAGAGGAGCTCATGCCTGTGAAGAATTTACAGTTAGATTCATTTCCCCATAAGTTTCTAATTTATTTCCTTGCCATTTGAGTTTGTTTCGTTAACATTATGTTGCATATGTTATCTCAGAAGAGACCAAGAGAGATGATGAGAACTGGACGAAACACATGTTAGGGTTAGTATTTATTCCTTTATATTTATTTGGCCTATAAGTGTGGTAAATAAGAATTGTTCAGTATATTAGACACTTGCTACACTCTTATGAGCTTCAGACTCCACTGGGAACTGTTCTGTAGTATACATACCTGTGGACTATTTTGCGTTCAAGTCGTGAATATGCTAGAAGTTTCAGAATACGGGGTTTCTTGCATGATTGAAGTCTATGTGTAATGATATTACCCTGTCTAATCCATGTGTTTGTCTATGGTAAACAAGGGTAGATGCCATATTAATAGACAGTACAATTTGTCATCACATTACTTATTAACGAATTATAAACATAAAATTTTCTTTATTTCCTTTTCAAATTATTTGTTTCATCACTTCATTATTGTTCTTCTTAATTTACAGTTATTGGGAACAGGAGTTAGGCTAGCATATAGACCTGTTCATATGAATACTCTGGACAATGAAATTTTCCCGCCAACAACACATGTCCATTGAAACTTATTGAAAATTAGGGTTTTTTTAATAGAATAGATTGGCTTATATAGCCTTACACCCACATTTACACAGAACTCCCTCTAATATTCTCTAATTACATTATCTTTTCAACACTCCTCAAGATGAGCGAAAGATATCTATTAAGCCCATCTTGTCACACCCTTCAAGATGAGCGAAAGATATCTATTAAGCCCATCTTGTCACACCCTCTAGCTAGATCTACTGAGCTAAGCCCTTTAGTAGCCCATCTTGTCACACCCTCTAGCTAGATCTACTGAGCTAAGCCCTTTAGTCAAGCAGTCTGCAGTCTGTTCCTTAGTTGGAACATGGCCTAACTCTAGTAACCCACTGTTCAGCTTCTCCTTGATGAAGAATCTATCAATCTCAATATGCTTAGTTCTGTCATGCTGAACTGGGTTGTTGGCGATACTGATAGCTGACTTGTTGTCGCACCACAAACTCATCTTGGTCCCTTGGTCAAGGTTCAGCTCCACCAGCATGTTCTTCAGTCACATCAACTCCGCAACCCCTAAGGCCATGGTTCTGTACTCTGCTTCAGCTGTTGATCTTGCCACCACAGATTGCTTCTTGCTTTTTTAGGAGACTAAGTTGCCTTCTACAAATATACAATACCCTGAGGTAGACCTCCGATTATCTCCGCAGCCAGCCCAATATGAGTCACAGTAGCCCTCAATGTTCACATGGCTACTCCTCCTGAATCTTAGTCCTTTGCCAGGGGCACCCTTCAGATACCTCAGTATCTGATATACTGCATCCATATGACCCTTCCTCGGATCATGCATGTAGCGACTCACTACGTTTACCGCAAATAAGATGTCTGGACGTGTGTGACTCAAGTAGATCAGCCTGCCCACCAATCTATGATATCTCTCACGATCAACAGGTTCTCCTGCCTCAGCACTTAGCCTGAAGCTCTGATCAACCGGTGTAGCAGCAGGCTTGCACCCCAACATCCCCGTCTCTGCAAGAAAATCCAGTGCATATTTCCTCTGGGAGAGAACAATCCCCTTAGGTCCATGAGATATCTCTATCTAGGGCTGAGCACGGTTCGGTTCGGTTCGGTTTTTATCAAAATTTGAACAACCGAACCGAACCGTCCATTATTCGAAACCGAACCGAACTGTTGCAAGTCGGTTCGGTTCGGTTTGTTCGGTTCTAAATTCAGCAATGATAAAGCCTGATATATACTAGTTTACATGCTATATAGCCAGTCTCCACTCAAACTTAGACAACAAAAAAGATGGAATTGTTAGCTTGACCACTCGAGTCAACACCAGCATTGTACATACACACAGCCATTGGCTTGGAAGAATTATTGACTTGAATTAGGATTTCAGGGCTTAGGTAGTATTATTGATTTGAATTAGGATACCAGGGCAATTTAAACACCAACATCAAATTACAACACTCAAGTCAAACAAACTCAAGAAAAATACAGAAATTCAATCGAATAAAATCTCAGGGATCGATGAAATCACCTTCGGAGAGCCAACCGTAGCCCCCGCGGGAAACAGAGAGCATCGACGTCATCAACGTCGCCGTGGTCATGATGTGCATCGGGAGGAGCTATTCAACACAGAAACTCATCTTAACTGGAGATCTGCATAATTCAAAACAAAAGTTGGATTCTATTTAGGAGCTGTTTGGTTCGTTTCCTAGATATAGGAAAATGTATTTCCATGTACAAAAACACAAGTTTTGAGTTTTCCAAACTTTTCTAAAAAAATAGATTGTTTCGCTTTGGTTCGCACAAAAAAATGATGGGAAACCAATGTATTTATTTTTCTTGTGTTTGGTTCGCATGGAAAAAAAAGGAAAACTTTTGTTTATATGACAAAAAGCTGACATGGCTGCAGTTTTCTTCGATTTCACGAGGTTGAGGAAGGAATTGGGGAAGAGAAAAAAATCTGATGTGGCGGCGATTTTCACCGAGTTTCTCTTCTTCAACCCTAGCGAACCAAAGATGGGAAAAAAACCGACGGAATGCTTATATTCTACGTGGCCACGAAAAATCTGATGTGGAGGCGGTGTAAAATTTTTCCACCGAGTTAAAAAACGAACCAAACAGCCCCTTAGGGGAAATCGAGGAAACACTAGAAATGGGATCAAGCACATGAGGATGCGAGGAGCGGCGATAGGTTTTGGGTATCAGAGACTTGGAGTTGGGGGACGGAGCGGCGTGGAGGACTGAAACTGTTGAAGGACTTGGGACGGAGTCACGGAGCGGCGAAGGCTGGAGAATGCGAGGTCGAGGTTAGAAAGAGCTGAGTTAGGTTTTTAGGTGGACTTGGCGATTTTATAGTTTAGGAAAGACGGCGTCGGGTAATAAAAATGGGTATGCGGTTACGGGCGATCGGTCGGACGGTTCGGCGTGAAATTGTTCAACCCGACTCCCGAACGGTTTGAAACTAAAACCGGAACCGAACCGCTAATTTTCGGTCGGCTCGGGTCGGTGTTTTTCCGTTTGGACCGAACCATGCACACCCTGTCTCTCTATCCAAGAAGTATCGAAGCGGACTCAGCATCATTCACTTCGAATTCTTTGCTCAATCTTACCTTGAGCCTGAGCAATCTCCTTCTCATCATCCCCTGCTGCATGCGATCATGTCATCCACATAGCACTGTCAAACATAAATGATGATGACTGTTAGGCTGTCTAAAAAATCACAAAAGATAGTTCACCCTATCAGACTTCAACTGAATCAGTTTTGACTAAGGAGGTTATAATCAGACGACTTCTTGTTAACAAAGGGAGGCACAATCCAGAGCGATTCTCCTTATGGATCAAGAAGAGTACAAGCAATGATTTCTTCAAACCCAAGATGCAGAATTCATCCTTTCCAAGTTGCAAACACAAGTAATTTCCAAAGCTGCTAACGCAATCACTACATCCGTAGCTCCATATCGCCTGCAAACGTAGCTCCATATCGCTGTAAACGCAGCTCTACAGTCGCTGCATCCGCAGCTTCATCCGCTTACAAACGCATGCCTATATCCGCTGCAAACGCCAGTTACCATATCGCCTGCAAACGCGACTCCAGATACTGCGTTTAGACGCCCCAGATCATACCAGGAACGCAAGACGCTGACTAGCTTTCAAACGCGATCCATACGGCTTCGAGAAAACCGTTGTTCAAACCCACGATCTGGGGGATGGTTTAACGTGGGTTGTTATACCCGATTAATAGGAGGACTAAACCCTCAATAGACGCGGATTATTGGGCGCAAGTTACATCTTTAATACCCCTATAAATATCAGAAAACTCAACAAAGTTCGGAGATCGATCGACTTATTGCTAGTAGTCTGTCGTATGTGCGGCGGAAGGAAGGTGATGGAGAGATATGAGGACCGACCTGCTTAACATACGATCTTTCTGGACCCTAGGAGTTAAGCCGCATTAGCCTCATTTGATATTGGATTTCAACGTCCCGGTGGCTACAAATAGATATTCTTTCGCAGTGTCAATCAGATCCAGTAGCTCTATTTCCATTTTATTGACAGCTTTTACTATCTCTCCTCTGCAGTTATAAAACTTTAAAATCATGAAGTATTTAGTGTGATCAGTATCGACCACACGAAGTCAGTTAGCTTCTAAGTTGCGTTGAGACATTCGAATCGTCAACGCGAGAGCCAATTTCGACGCGAGTATCTCGAAAGGAAGCTCACTTGCACCTTCTGTTCACAGCGCTCACAGAGACTCGCGAAAGGATATAAACAAAGTTAGGAAGAATGCAGGACCATTCCTTCCTCTCTCTTTTAGATATTACGGATAATTATTCTCACGTGAGTAATTGAAAAAATCGAGAGAATACCAAATACATAAGCACTTTATTTATTACTTCAAATTTTCTATCCGAGCTCCAATTCTATTATAAGAGTGACCGGCGTCCTTCTTCTTTACGGATAATATGAAGATAAAGTATTGTATTTCTCTCCGTATTGATCTGTTGATCGCGATGAACTAACCATGGCTCTTCCTGGAAATCACTGAGCGTGCCAAACCGACTATGCTTCAAAATGTAGTGAGACTAGCTATGAGACCAGACACTAGCCCAACCGAAAGTTTATTTCTCAACGCTCTACTCGTCGTGTCATGCGTCCCTTCCACCTATTTTGTATCGCCACGACCAGAGTGCGTGCCTCCGTTGGTCGGATGCTCACATTTTGGCCCAGTGCTGGTATCTAAATACAAGTCTTATCTTGGTGCACTGAGCACAATCAGTTATTTCACTCCCTCGATACCATTGCGAAAAAAAACACACTTATCATTTCAACAGTGCAGCTTGGGAGTCATTGAGCTTCCCAGTCCATCATTTATATCGAGAGAAATATTCTTCGCGTTGCACTGAACCAGCCTTTTCGAAGTGTAGTCAGATTGGGTTCAAGTCCGGCAATAGAAGTGCCTGCATATCGCTAGCGCTTCACCCATTATCGGATGTCTGTGAGTCCAATACTACCCTTCTGCGCGAGTGCAAGAAGTATCTGTTCCTCGGTGCGCCTTATCGTTCAAACTCTTACCCGTGTCTGGGATTCGTTTGTGAACACCTAGTATAAACTAATTTTAAGCTCTACCCAATTCCAATATATTCCAGACATCTATCCACTCGCTGCTTTTCCCTGCTGCACTCGTGCTGGAATCTTGATGCTGTGGCTTCATAGGCGGTCTGCTAACTCCTACGTGTTTAGGTATGTCAGAGTTAACACGTTGGGCCCCTTTACTTCAGGCAGTCCCTAGACCCTTAGGTGCGTTAGGTTAATCTACAAGACATTTGCTATGATGTGCCAATTGAATGCTCCGGTGTTAAGTGGGCGATTTAATGTGAGAATAGCCGAACCACAAGAGTTTAGACTATTGACTCCCATACTCTATATGTGCCTTAGGCGGACTTTCCCGACCGGAGTTACTGCGAGTAGTTCCTCTCTGACATTGGTGCCAGGGGAGGAGGGGCGCCACGAGTGATAGTACAGACTGACTCATTATTACCTATAGGACGTGGAGGGATGGTGTAGGTAGGTTTCTTCATGCTTGTTTGCCGACCGCCCAGAGGACTGGGCCTGACGGAGGGCGACTAGCACTGGCACTGTTACTATGAGCGCACCTCTGGGCTTCTTTCACCCAACTTCTACTGCTATGCCTAAGCAACTCTCCCTGAGCTTGTAGGCGCGTCAACACCCCATGTCTCTCCTCCTCCTTCGCCCGTTCGTCATTTCATACCTCTTTCGTGCTATCTAGTTACACGGAGGACTACGAAATTGTGGGAGTCTTATTGCAATTCGCTCTTGAGGCTCTCAGCTCAAATTATCTCCCACCTGGTGATGCTCCTTCACTATCTCCGATATCGAAGCCTACAGCCCGATCCTAAACGCGTGAAGTAACACCCACGCTGTGTAGTACGGCTCGAGCCCTCTCCGCAAAACCCACATCCAGTTGACCTTGATCAACAGTGCTCCTCTTTTTTATCCACTTCAGAGGCGTCTGTTATAGCAACATTCATACCCTTGGCTGTAGTGCTTCACGTTGAGTCTATCCTCTCTATATATTTACCCTAGACGAAGTGCTCATACACTTAGCCACTCAGCCCTTTTACGCCGCTACTGAGCTTCAGCAGAACTGCATTTCAGTCTTGTGTGTCCCCTTCACCAAGAGCATACACATTCCAAATACCTTCAATGGTAGTTGACCACCCCGTTATCTCCCTTCAGTTATCTCACGAGGAGACTTTCCACATCCAACACACTCGACGGGCATCCTGTTGATTAAGTTAGCAACCAGTCAGATTGCTGTCCCACAACACCTTTAGGACATATTCATCGCCATCAATTATAGCTCCTAGCAATCCTTCTATGGAGACTGTTTAATTCTTCCTCTACTGCCTATCCATATTGCATGAGCTTGGCGGTGTATGCGCGCATGTAGATCTGCGTGTAGAATCCCCTGCAGCTGACAGAGTC